CTCCAATCTGTTTTGACAGGCGGAGGCACGTTGGCTTCCCCTTTGTTCGTAGTTTGCAGACAAGCCCCCCCTTTTAGACGGCACTCATTACTCGAAAATGGTTCATTGTACTGGTTGAGAAACTTGCAGAGATATATAGCAGAGGAAAACGAGACAGCTGTTAAGGGGGGACACTGGCTAGAGGTTGAACTTCTGAACTACTCAAGTGATCGGAATGAAATTTGCAGGGGAGATTTAACTTCAAATGAAGGGGTACTATGCGAACTTTCAGCTCTCTAGGACAACTTTACATACCTGCATAAGATGTGTCACTCTTTATTAAGAAATCTATGATATGCAAATGAAGCTATTAAGCATCATTTTAACTGCTTGAATATAAAGTGGGGGATGTGGGACTTCGGGCTATCTAGTTTTTAGAACTCAAATGTAGATATTTTAGGAAGAGTGACTACCTCAGAATATGAGACGCATAACTGTTTTAAGTCAATTTTTGAAAATATAGCTTTTTCTCAATGAGAACTTTAACTTAAAACAAAATAAAGTAGATAGCCCGATTTCCCAGTAAATTTCAGTTCAGAAACATCTTGATTGTGGTACAGTCGAACCTCGATATAACGAACTTCAATGTAACGAAATCCTCGATTTAACGAAGTATTTTATTTTTCATAATTTCTTGCCCATAGACCCCATGTATTTTTAGTCCCTATATAACGAAGTCTATATTGCTGCTATTTCAATATAACGAAGCGCCATTGCCATAGAAGGCAATAAATAAATCAACTCTAAAAAACAACTTTGCAAAAAAAATTGTGGTTAAAAAAAAAAAAATTATGCGCAAACGCGAGCGCTTGATAGGTTACTTCGCGGGGACAGGCCTTCCAACGTTCCTAGGCTGCCCGAGGATGCGGCGCCGGTAGCGCCGGCGAGGCATGCGGCAAAGCGGATTCCGCGAGGCTGGCCAGAAAATGCCGAGCAAAAAGTTAACACGGCATAACAGCATCACCACTGACATTCACTGATCATCATAGTCCACTCTACCGCGGGAGCCAACTTCAGCGGGGGAGCGACGTGATGGCGCGACCGCGCGATAGGAAGGCAGTGTTGCCAACTAAAAAATTGAAAACCCGCATTCGGAATCCCAAAAGCCGCTAAAAAACCGCTAAATCCAAAACACAGCGAAAAACAACTTTTTATTTTTTTGCTTTATTTCTTGACAAAGGTATAATAACAGTATAGATCATATATATGCCATCTGAAAGGAAGCTTTCCTTTTTGGTGTGACTAGAAATCTCTCACGCCACGCCACAGTTCACCCAGGTGATCCGAAGCCAAAATTGCAGAGTGAGCGCATACGAACATGCAAGGGACACTTCAGCAGAGCGTGATTAGTCAGACCCGTTCAACTTGTAGAGTCGTCTGCTACCAGAGGAGAAAGGTGCAGCGGCCGAAACATGCTTCTTCGTTGCAGCGTGCATGACCAAATCCACATTCTTCGCAGATAGTTCCGTTTTGAAGTAGCGGCACCTGGCTCGTCTGCTATCACCAGGAACCTCCAGTAGTTAGTCTTTAAGTTTGGGGTCTTATAGCCAGTCTTTTCTAAAGTTTTGAGCGTACGTCACTGCGACCATTTCACGAAACAGTGACAAAAACGTCAAAGGAAAATTAGGATATTCATGCTGTTCAAACGTGCGCGCAGAAAACGGGGAGGCTTGTTCCGATATTCGACGTCTTAATGTTTTAATTTCGTCACATGCGTTACTCTCACAAACCAGAACATCACTGAGAGTTAGTGAAGACGATAGTCGACAGTAAATCTATATAAAACTTATATATCCCTAAAAAACCGTCAAGATTACATAAAACCCGCTAAAAATCCCGCCGCCCGCAAAACAATAATTTATCCCGCTAAACAGAACCAAAAACCGCTAAGTTTAGCGGAAAAACCGCTAAATTGGCAACACTGTAGGAAGGCTGTAGTGAGGGTGGGCGCAACTCAAAACCTGGAGAGCGTTTGCAATTTAATGGCGGCGCCAGAGGGAGAGGATTCGGGAAAGGATATGCGCCAGTGTTGCCTGCACGAGAGCAGGCGCCCGCTCTGTTGCAACTCTGTTGCTCCATGCGCCTTTCCTCCTCTCGCCTCCCATAGCAAGCAACGAGCGCCTTGGCGCAGCCTCTCTCGCTTCCTTCTCGCTCCGAGAATTGCAAACGTCGAGCGGAGAAAGCAAAGTTGCCAGACAAGCAGCAACGTCCAAGATGGCGGAATTTACCATTTTTCGCGTTAAAAAAATACTTAACCTATCGCAACAAAACTGGTGGCTATGGAAAAGTAATCATTTATACCTTGTGTAAATTATTCAAGCACCTTAATGGGCTTTTATGGCCCGAGTTAGGAAAGAAAACGACCCTTTGCCCCATAGACTCCCAGCAAAATTTAGCAACTAAATGGCGTCCATGTCCCGTGATCGCCGATCTAGCAGTTGCACCCACCCTCACTTGAGCCTCCCTACCGCGCGACCGCACGGGCAGTGCCATCTAGGAGAAGACCGAAAAGACCGATTATCGTCTTGCGAGCGTGATGTAAAGCAAAGGCGCAAGCACACTGTGGGCGCAAGGGGGCAAGTAAACTGTGCGGTCAAGAGTGCTGTGTAGGTTGGAAACATTGGCACCGCCTAAACTAAACAGCTTTATTTTTTAACCGGGCGGTTCACTTACGTGCTTGCTGCCATAAGGAAACGTAAAGTTCTCTCTTTGGATGAGAAAGCAAACGTTTTGGACGCCATCCTGAAGAAACTGCCGAGATCACGAGCACTCGGGAAGTGCTCGACGCAATGGACGTACTGAGGAGGTACACGGCGTCGCGTGGGCAGCAAGATGCCGTGCAAGCGCTCTGGGCGCTCGAACGCCGTATGACGCCGCCGACGCCGCTGCTACTGTCGGACAAGGCGCAAGCAAAACTCGCGGACTACTTTGCCCCTAAATAAATGTCATTTTCGGTGAGTTTTCATACCCGTAAAATGTTTCGGAATTTTTTTTTAGCGCATGCTAAACCCAAATTTCGATTTAGCGAAATTTCAATGTAACGAAGTAAATTGCGAATTTTACCGACTTCGTTACATCGAGGTTCAACTGTATCAGAATAATTTTACCCTCAAATAAAAGATTCCTTCGTATAAAATTTGCAGCAAAAAGTGGAACTGAGAAAAATGCTTTCAAACATTGAACTCTTTTACTTTGTTAGTGCCTCACAATGTGTTGAAAATATTTTATATCAACGTAACTATTTGGCGCATGGTTATGAAATTTAGCTTAAGGGTGTATAATTAGTTTCTAAAACCGAAAACCTCAAAATTGAAAAATTAATTTTGTAAAAAAGTTTTGAAACTTAGGCCCATGTCCCCCTTCAACTAGGTCCACGTGAGATGCGATAAAGCCCAACCAGTTAGGCACAGAAGATCAGGAATTTTCCTGGAGACAGATGCATGGTGCAACCCGTAGTTGCACTATCAGGCAACAACAGCATATCTTTTTTGCTAAAATTCTGGCACTTCTATTCTCAACTATTTCCAGCAAAAGCTTTCCGGACCTTTACAAAATGCTTTTCTATATCCAAGGCCCTAGTTCTAGCTTTACCATTAAAAGTGAGTTCAAAGCACATTGCAAACATAGAACAAGAAGCAGGAAGCCACGATTAGTTCATTATATCGTAGATTTCAATATTGCTGGGTTTGTTATAAGTAGGGCTCCGTGTTTTCGGAGTTTATTTTTCGCCGAAGATTCGGAGTTTATCGGAGTGTTTTTCGAAGTTCAATTTTTGCCGAAGATTCTGAGTTTATCGGAGTTTCTATCTTTTTCAATCCCAATTCTCGAAATTCGGAGTCTAATTTTGCTGTGTTTCCTATCAAAAATAAATAAATAAATAATAACCGGATGTAAACGTATGCCAGATAAAAAATAAAACGCGCTTGTATCAATTGAAATATCTGCAGTCAAATTTGGCGTCGGTGTCATTGCCATTGGCACTACTAATTTATCCACGACAAAAGTTACACACAAGTGGCGCTTCGATAAACGCCGATACCTTAAAATCAATAAACTCCCGGAGGTAGTCGCTAGCCAGCTCGTAGTCATCTCATCCTATTACGTCAATCTAGCCCGAGGCCGCGCGACGAGGAGTGGTTAAGGAGGTAATAGAGAGTGTGGACTGCGCCTCTCCCCAAGTTTATACAATCCCTATGGTCCATAGCTTTCATTGTTACTAAAACATACCCTTTCCTTTCTCTAAATCACAAATCGCATGGCCCAAACTGGAAACCAAAAGAGTGGCTTTTGTCGTGACCCAAATGTACAACGAACGACCTGTTGCCCCGAATCAACCTCGAAGAGACAAGCGGCAAGACCCCTTTTGACAACCGTCCCAGATTTGAAAGATAATTATGCTGGAATTTTCCCACGACTATTGGCTCTGTGCTGATCAAACTATAAAAAAAAAAAAGTCTTTTACTTTATTTTTTTTTTTGCCGGGGGGGGAGGGGGGGTGGCATGACACATAAATAATCTGAGTTTATTGGATAAATCCGAATTGGCCAAAATTTTACCCGGCAGGTATTTTTCTGAGTTTTTCGGATTTATCCGAAAACACGGAGTTCTAGTTATAAGTGAGACAAACTATATTGGCAGTGTGTGCAAACCACAGGGAACGCTTCTCCAGCTATTATCATCATCATCGCCTGTGCCGCAGTGCTTAGAAAAGACCAAGCGGATGGCGCAGACTCCTTGACTTGTCAGCTTGCATCATGCATTGTTTGGGTAATGTCAAACCTTGTCGTCAAAGTGAACAGAACTTCCGTCAGTCCTATGATTTCCTTTGCCATGGTTTTCTTGCCGATCTCACCACTTTTACCTCAAACCATACACAGAGAGATAACTAAACACACACACTTCACAGATTTTTGATGCAGCAAACCTCTTCAATGATAAGGCTATTACACAAGAGAGATTACCTTCTTTTCAAAATCGATGACAACATCTCGTGCCTTGATCTTCAAATTCCTTGGAATGGGTACTCTGAGCTGCAGAAAAAACCAGGAATAGCAACTTAACACAGGATATAGATAGAAGCACAACAAACACAAACTATCAAAGTTCAACATGATATCACGCTGAACAAGCACATGGTATTGCAATTTTAAATGGTGGAAATGCAGCAGAAAGATGAAGCTGCAAACATCTATGACATGACGGAATATCAGGTCTTTCATTATCCTAATACTCTCGTTGAATGATGCAACCAGCTGGAACCAACAGTGGCCATACAGTATTTATAGCTAATCTTTTTCATCTGATGTAAGTCAAAAGGTCTGCAGAGGCCTCAAAGCCTTCAGTAATAAACAGACCCACCAAAAGACATCAGCAAGTGAATTGTTTTTTCTGCAAGCTAAAACAGATGCCTCAACTTCTTTTATTTGTAATGTTAGGTGCAGAACACGGCAAGGATACATTGCCACGCATGAACCCCAGGTGGGGTGCTGATGCTTTGGGCCTCTTTGCCCGCCGTTGTTTCTTAATCTTTGCAAAGTACACATTATTTAGTGTAAGGGCATAGCTGTGCTTCCATGTTTAACATTTGTTTATAGTCTTGCTTCACTGTTTTGTTACAACACCTATGCTGGGGTCTTTACACCGTAAGGCAGAAAACAGAAAGAACCTTAGATGAAACTGGCATGTAGCTCAACCATGCACAAGCCTTAAAGGGCAACTCCGCTTCTTTTTCAGTAGTGAAAAACTATACAGTTCTCTTTGTTATCATCTACAAAACCCCCATGGCAAATATTACGACGGAATTCCGCCTAGAAGTTCATTAAAATCGCTGTCAAAGTTTGACAAGCACGAATCCACTGGTTTTGGATGAGACGTGTGGGCCAGACAACACTGCCCGGCTGCATTTCCGCTTCCTCCAAATTCCTTCTACCGGCACGTCCGTGACGTCATCAAGCATGTACAGTTTCTTTTTTTTTTTCAATTTTGTTTTCTTTCCCGGGGAGAGCACGGGTGGCGCCAGCGCCGTGCTCTCCCCGGAGAGGGAAGCTGCTTTTGTAAGAATTTTGAGTGACAGGTTAATCTTCTATAATCTTCTGGGGGGAAAATAGCGACGCCTCTGCTAATCCAGGAGGCACAAAGGAGGATCCTGATAAGAGGGGAGCTCCTTCTTCCCATTGTATATCACGTGGGTGTACATGCTTAGTGATGCAGAATATACAATGTTGTCCGGCTTTGCCACCGTTTCGGTTTCGGTTTGTGATCATGGCTGCAGTAAAATTACACAAAAATATTTTATTTTTCGCGAAACAAAGGATCGGGGATTGTTTTTGAGTGCTTCAAAAAGCAAAATCGGCCACTATCTCAAAATTTTTGAAATTAAGCGGAGTTGCCCTTTAAAGGTTGAAGTGGCATGAAACTGAACCAGCTGGTGGGGGGCAGCATTATAAAATTTTCCCATAAGCAATTACCTTATCAGGATAACATCATTTATCACATATGATGCATTCCTGAGGTCATTTTTATATCCAACGTATATAGAAACAATGTGCATCAAAAACAGAACTCACTATAACAGCCTACTGCTCTGTGACTATAAACCAGAAAGCAATTGTTCTCATGTACTTACAAATAAATTTGTTACATTGCATACATGCGTTTCAATTCACTGGACTCGGCACATAAACGTTGTCATGCCTAAAGTTTCGGCCTTGTCGTATACACAGCCTACCCATTCTTTCATTAAGGGGAGATGCAGGTTGAAAAACAGCAATATTTAGCAAAAAATGTGATTTCGGGATTTATTTTATTATCTTTATCTCTTGATATTTTATGTATAAAAAAATAGGGAACGAATATGGTTGCAAAATTAGTCAAATTCGCATTTGAAGACCTCCAGGGAAACCAGAAAGGAAAAACACAGGGTCTCTTATGTTATCCCTAAGAGGACTTGAGAAAGCCCACGCACCCCACCATGCATTAAAAACAGACACCCCTCTTAATGTGCTGAGTCATCCTTCTCCCAGTGCTAAGTCACCCTTCTCAATGTGCCGAGTCATCATCTTAATTCGCTTAGTCATCAATCGCCTTCCTGAGTGGTCATGTAAACATTTTTGTACCTTTCCTTTGCTCAAGGACTTTGAGGGTGGACTGACAATGGGCCATACAAGGCTTTCGCCTTTATAAATAAGAGCCATGCTTGTGGGCACAGTTCTTTAAATTGGGACGTCACTCGCCATCACAATTACGTTGAAAGGTGAGCCTAGCAATTTCCTACCCATCACAATCTTCCGTAGCTTAACGTAACATCCTGAGAGAGAGCTCACTCAAGAACGAAAGCAAATCAGGTAAAAATAAGGGTGGGTTATCTTTTGATGTACAATCCAAAAATGATAAATCAATGGTAGTTTTGGAATTTTGTGCAGGAAGGGACGATGGAACCAAAGACTACTGCCCATCCCTGTCAGCAATGTTTGCTTATCTCCCGTCACGGCTAAGTACAGTTGAACCTCTTTAAAATGAACACTGATATAGCGTATTATCGGATATACCAAACTAATCAAGAAATTTGGTTGGTCATGCTTTATTTGGATGAGAGTTCTAGTTATATAACGAAACCATAACCGTGAAATCTGACGCGCTACCGGTTATAGTGAAGCAGTTCCTACTTTTTTTGCATCACAAAAAAACTATGAAAGTTATTAAGTAGAAAAAATACAAAAACTAATTTTAAAATGGAAAATTCTGAAAGTTTAGATCGTCTGATATGCAAAAATGGACGTTTTGGGAGGTAGCGCCACCTATGAACCGAGCGGATAACGGCGGGGGCATCGTCGCTGGCCTCTATGCGAGGCATCAAGAAACAGTGCCGACTAAAGCCAACCGCCAACCACGCCACTCATAGCGGAGCTACAAATGGCGATGAAGCGGAAAGCTCTCTGAGACAAAAAGGGAGGTTTTTGAGGGCGGTGGACAGCAGCCGGAAGAAAAAAGACATCACTGTGGATTTCGAGCTTGAACCAAGCACGATATCTACCATTTTGAGTGCAAGGAAGAAGATTGAAGACTGCTAGCAAACAACACCGTCAAGATTGACCGAAAAAGTCTGAGGTCTAGCTTCGACCCGGACGTTGAAGAGCCTCTGTTCTAAACGCCCTGTCACACTGTGGCGACAACCTATCTTCACCTTAGATGTCATGCACGCCATTAGAACATTGTACTGCTTCATAACGCCAATAGCGCTTTTTATAATAGTCAGTCCAAAACAAAAGCAAGCAAAGCAAGCAAGCAAAACAAGCAAGAGTTCTTGAACACAGAAAACACAACACACAGTAACTACAATTTCGTGCATGGCACTTCACGAAATATTATTAGTCATGGTAGGTCTGTATATCTCCAGATATCGCAGTATTTCTTCCTGTACTCAGGCCTTCTTTTTTGACAAGCCATAACGGCGCTCTCAGAAGCTTCTACTTGGTTGATCTCTTCCTCCATAGCTTTCACGGGGGCGATGAAAACGAATGAAAATTAATTTTGCCGACGGTTGAGTGCGGTGTTTCCAGATGGTTGCACAACAAACCGCCAAACAGCTGGAAAAAATAGCCTAAATGTAGCAAAAGCTGCTAAAATTCGATGGTATTTTGAAATAAAATTATAATTGACCTAAAAACTTCCAGATACCGTAAACGACTTAATTTTCGCGAGGACCTAATTTTCTCGAATCGCCTACAATTTGCGAAAAATATGTACCGCAAACAATTTGGGCAATATGTGAACGCAACAAAAGCTACACTTGATTTGCGAAAATTAGAACCCGCAAATAATTTCAAATTTTCAGCTTTGGCCCGATTCACGAAAATTAAATCGTTTACAGTATATACAATGCCCAAAATTTCCCTCAAACAAGCAAGATTTCTCTTATTACCCCATAGACCTGAATGTTACCTTAATTTGGGAAATTTCCCTCAGGTTGGCAGCCCTCCGCAAGAGCCATGTGACAAGTAAGAGGCCAGTCAAGTGACAAATAGCAGCCACTTTTTTGCGGCGCCCACGGGCGCCAACTAAATATTTGTATCGCGCCATAAATATAGCTCTCAAAATTTTTCTTTTTCATTGTAAATTCATTTTATGATTTCGTTTTCCCAACCAGGCTGTTTAAAAAAAAATGTTTTTTTCCATTGCATGTGTCTTTTAAGTGAGTCACGATGCCCCACATGTGTGCAAGAGTTCGTTGTTTTTTGCATGTGCATTGCATCCAGAACATAAAAAAACAAGCTAGTATATCAAAACTAACACCAGATTTATAAAAAGGAGATCAAGCACTATGAACTAAAAATTTAATTCAGCTATCGGAAATATTAAAAAAAAGTTCTCCCCTGGTGTATGTTTCCTACGGGTGGGCCACTCTGCTCGAAGAAAGACAACGAGTTCAGCAAGAAAAGGAATGTGAGCCTCATAAATGCACTTTTTTGCTAGGAACAGAACAAAAAGTGGTTCCTATTCCATGCTCCATTAACATGAAGTGGTTATTCCCAACACTAGCTAGCAAACGTAAAAAAAGACTGTTTCCTGGTTTCATGAGGACTCGTCCAGATCCTTGCACTAAGAGCATTGGCTTCAACCGTGTCCCTTGAAGCTGCACTAGGAATGATGAGCTGCTGGACCAATCTAAGTGGGTCGTTCAGGGCTAAATTGCCCGTGGAAGCAAGAAGGTAGTCTAGGTACTACTCGCATGGGCCTCTTCCGCTATTGCCTTGTCCGCCTCGAAGAGGCACCCGCTGCTACTGTTTTTGCTTCAATTACAAAAGACTTTCGACGAGTTTAGTCAAATGACCCTGGTCCAACCTGTCTTAAAAAATCGTCATTTTATCTGCGTCTTGCCTAGGTCACAAATGCTTCAAACCCTCTGTGTCACCATTTATATTCACTCAGCAGTTAGCCCAGGACTGAGCAGGGATGTGATTTAAGATAAAGTTCCCATTCAGAGGTTCATTGCAAATCTGCTACACATAAACAGGCTAGCCCTCAAAGCAGCCATGCTTTGAGGGCTAGCCTGGCCACCGTGGATGGAAAATGCTTTGTTTTGGTGCCAGTCTGGAAACCGTGTCACGCCTCAGCAATGCTCGACTATCAGACAATCTAACCACACTAGCAGCAAAGATGCTAGCGTTCAGAGGCCGTACTTACAAACGTCTATACACTGCCGCTCTTCAGTACAAGCATAAGAAAATGAAAAATAGAGTCCTCTCCCCCTTAGCTTTAAGAGGCGATGTCTGTGCTTCCCCTTTTCACCCCACAGTTGTGGCTCCAGAGGGCACTCAATTGCTCATGGCATAGCGGACACCATCTACAGTAAAACTTCGTTATAACAAAATGGGATATAACAAACTAATGGATATAACAAAGCAATCATAATTCCCCTTGCTTGCTAATAGTGGGAAGAAATGGACATTGGCTATAACAAACTAATGGTTATAACAAAATAATTACGACCGCTCCTTTAACTTCGTTATAACGAGGTTTTACTGTATAGCAGGGGTCTCAAACGCGCGGCCCGCAACTCACTGGGACGCGGCCCGCAGGCAACCAACCGGCTACGAGTCAAGGTTCCCATGTCTCGAGTGCTAGAAATAGTGTGCGCCATAGTGATCTCATCTCGCCGATTCATTTTCGCTCAAAAAGTAGCTGTGCTCTTTTAACGTATTCACATATTTTATACTTATATGTGTTCATTTGCCCTTTGTTTCGCTTTATTTTTTTGCTTCCCAGCTTTTTTTTGTAATGTACGACTCTGCTACTAGGCTGCAAGCGTGTGCTATTTGTTGATGGGTGCATCTCAACTGCGCAAACTCTCGATCAGCAGGAGCAACTGCCAAAGATAAAGCTACGAGCTCGGGATTATCACCTTAAAAAAAAATCCCCATTAAAATACAAGTATTTGTTCTAAGTGTCGTAATAAAAATCTTCAGGAAAGCAACAGCTGTCAAATTAACTGACTGTTTTGAGAGACATCTTGAGCATGGTTAATTCCTGCGTGAATTGGCCAACGGGAACAACAGTGAACTTGCTCTCTTGTTTTATTAAAAATGCCAGCATGGCGGCGGTGCGGTGTCATTTAAGTTTTTGTTTTCACATCAGGTGAGGGCCCAAAGTAGTCATATAAACAAATCAAATCTAAAGATGTCACTGGCAAAACTGAGAGTTTACAGACAGCATAGAGCACGAGGTCCATTCTTTTTAAAGTCATTTGAGCCCCACCCCCTTCCCCCTGACATTGGCCCTCAAACTTTCCAGTGTGGGCTATTTGGCCCCCCCATTCAAATCAGTTTGAGACCGCTGATCTATAGAATCTTCCCCAGAGCAGTTGCAGAATGCAAAAACAATTCCCCCCCCACACGTTTTGCTAAAGAGCAGCGGGATGACCTACCTCAATCTCGGAGAGAGTCTGGGTCCACCTGTAGTTCTCCAGGTCACAACCATTTCCCGCATTTGGCTTTAGTTTTCCCTTGTTCTTTTCGTCTTCGTCATCCGAGTCCTCCTGTCATAAGACACAAAACAAGCCAAGTTAGTAATCGTGGAACGAAGAACTCATTCCTGCAGCAGATCAGCAACGTTTGTAAAAACGCTTTTAACAAATAACAATAAAAGGAAAGTAATATGAATGCAGAGAAAGGGAAGGGGCGAAAGCGAAATTCATGTATGTGGTTGCATAGAGATGCCGGGAAAATAAACATCCGCAGGAGTTGCATCTGACGAAACGATGGAGGCTGCAATAAGCTGTTATATTAGACAATTTGGTAAACATTTTTTATAAAAAAACAATGCTAAGAAATGGGACTAAAAAAAGTGTGCCTCACTCCAATGAATTGTTGTGCCGTTTCTTTTTTTTTTTTTTTTTTTTGATGTCTGCAGTTCAATATCTCTGCATACTATACACCTTTGCAAGAAACACTTGGCCCCCAGGGATGAGAGAACCTTTTTTGAGCCATCTCATTGGGTTTGGAGCTAGTTTCTCATTGGCTCCCTTCTAACCTAACCGAGTGGACTTGATTTCGATAGGCGCAGCCAGTGCAATATTACTTGCGACAGGAGCAGCCTGTCGGTGGCTAAATTCTCGGTTTTTCCGACTGTTCTTTTGCTTTTCATAGTGTATGTATTTTCCTTAGGACATTGAGAAAGCATTGTACTACATTTGAAACAAAAAGCAAACATACCGTGAACTGTAGTTGTTGGGTATGCTCACGACAGAATGAATGCGACTGGAAAGTTTGTTTTATTATACAGCAAGTTTTGACGGCGCCGCCCGCTCAGCCATGTCAATCGACAAAGCGCTTAGCTGTTGAAAATAATTTACAACAGAAGATAGCCAAAAGGTATGCATACAGTGCAATCCAACTATAACAATAACGAGGAAACCTAAAAATGCAATTGTTATAACCGATTAACATTGTATCTGGAATCAGGGTGTCTAGCAAATTATTATTTTGAAATTCCCTGACTTTTCCCGGTCTTCCCTGACAATTTCAGGTGAAATTCCCTGACCACTGTAGATGAGGTTAAATATAAAAGATCATTAACAAGGCATTGAGCATTGAGCACTCAAGCATCATTTTGCATGGGCTTAATCCAACTTGCATATTCCGAAATATTCGGGTTTGTCCAGTCCGGATTAAACGAGCACTTTTTTGCCGCCGACATTGTCAGTGAAGAGGCAACTTCCGGAAACACGATGGAAACACGACACTCACCCACACACGCCAAGAACTGAATGGCAACATGGCCACACGGCCGCCAGGTACACACTTTCGAATACTTTCGGCTTAAGGCTTGGACTGGATTGAGGTCTGCGGCTTTCCCCATTTGATACTAGATCTACTAGCTCTAACTAGTGTCACGCTCCCAATCCAATCGAAGGCTTGGACTGGATTTGTCGGCTGTTCTCTTTGCGTCGGGTAGCACTCTACATCGGGTGAGCAGAGCCCGCGCTCCGCTCTAAGCAGAATTTATTGCCTATTATTCTGCCCCCAAGTCCTCAAGTCTCTGCTCAGGGCACTCAATGGCGTTTCCAGCTCGTTTTCCCTGACTGGGCTCGCTTTTTGACAATATCCCTGACAATTCCCTGATTTTTCTAGGTAAATAAAATTTCCCTGACAATTCCCGGTCGCTAGACACACCGGGAATGGATAACCCACGCAAAAAACGCATGGTCCTCTATAAACTGACCTTATATGTCCTTATATGACCTTATATTTGAGACGTCGTCCTGTCTATTTTCTGTCCCTTCTACGATTTGATGCTTCTTCTCTACCCCAGTCTCAGGTTATTTCAACATGGCTTATATGTGGTACATCATTATATGTGGATTGCACTGTATTTCACTGGCACAAATAATGTGTTCACCGATGTGCACGACAGGACTCTGACATAAAGTTTAGCAAGTGTTAACATTAGAACAATACGTTGTATGTACCACACGGTGCAGTGTTATCTGAAAATAATTTATTAGAGGAAGATCTCAAACAACGCAGCACTACAGTGTCAACGACATGCCCCTCTTGTATCCTGTCCGATCTCGACAATCGGACAGGAAACAAGAGGGGCATGCTTTGGGGAGAACTTCCTTTTTCACAATACCAGCACCAAGGCAAAGGAACAGGCATGACTGATCAGTTCCTGGCTCCAACCCGAACAACTATTTTTGGCAATGACTGAGAAGGACTCTATGTGGATGATTCCTGAGAATGTGGAGAATAGTTGTCATTGTTAGCAAAATCGTGTCAAGGGCCATTCAATGTTCTTCCCCTCCTTCGTTTCTTGTGAATGATGAGCAGAAATGCTCGAATAGCCCCATGCACTTACCAGCCCCATTTCTCACAGTGGAAGATAACACAAAAAATGTATGCAGCAAGCGTAAGAAAAATAAAGTGGACACTTTCAAGAGAGGCCGGAAAACTGAGAATGCAAAACCACAAAACATAGGTGTAGAACTGCACTAAGCACATCGCAACAGTCTAGGAAAGTAGCAGAAAATTTCTGGCTGACAAGGGGCACGAGAGTCGCACCAGCTGCATCATCATCAGCAACAGGCGGCGGCCTAGGAGCATTTCTTGGAGAGGTGTATACACCTTTTCCCACAAGGGCCCAGCCTTCTGGAACGCCGTCACTTCTGGTACATATGCGTTAAAACATTGTTTTGATCTCTCCACGTTGCTAGGTGCTCACGAAAAGTGTCCGATTGTCACACATTCTTGTTTTGCCTCACCTATAATTTTGTCACATAATTCAAATAGAATTTTTCCTTTTTTTTGGCTGGCATCTTAGGTACGAAACCCACGTGACTGACAACGAAAAGAAACGAAAAACGTCTATAACTATAGCATAATTAGTAGCCTGCAATGCCTAGCATCTCCAGATTTTTCCAATGTTTTGAAGGCTGTTCTAAGATACTAGTGAAGTGAAATATGCTCACTCACATATGACACCCATGTAGGTGAAAAATTTGTGGTTCAACACTAGCAAGACTACAAGTTAATGCACATACGAGTGGACATAGCTTAGAATTTTAAGAGGTAGAACGCATAAAAATTATATTAAGCAATTTTTTTTTTTTTTTGGCAATGACAATTAATGGTTTTGTGGACATATTCTTAGAAGTTTTCCATGTGTCGTTGTCCAAGTACATGGTTAAAATAAAACCATTAGTATTTTGAGAGTTTTGCCAAGTCAATGGTATTCTGGAAATTAAAGGAAAACGTAAACATCCTCATTTTACCAAGAACCACCAGCCAGTTCAAAGACCGATTGAATTAGGACCATTACTCTTGTTTCGTCAAAATATAAATAACGCAGCAGACCCCTGCACTGTCTTCTCAACTCTCACTACACAGAAATCTGGCTCATTTTATTTTCAACTACATGGTAAACAGAACTCCATCAACCACATAGCCGCGCGAGTTCATAGAGAATTACGATGCACAAGTTAAAGAGGCCGACTTGTATAGTTCCTAAATCAACGAAAGCTTAAAATTATTCCCTCAGTAAACTGCCACATTTTATTGTCGTAATCTTGCAAATAATTCAAGTGCACAGCAGCAAACCTCCATTGCAAAATTCCAGATGTAAGACATGCATTTTTTCAGAAACAAGGTGTCTAAAGGTTCTCCATTGTATTCCATTTCAGACATGCAGCTTACATACTAAAATAGCAATAAAAATATGAGTGCCGAGTACAGACTGGCACGGAACACATATTGGGGACCGACATCGCAGGGCAGAGGCCATCAGCGACGCACAAGATTCTTGGTTCAAAATCGACACCTTGCATTGTAGAGGCTGCAGAGCCTTAACACCATGGAGGTGGTTAGCCCATAATGACAAAGACGTCCTTAAGGAGCTGTGCAACAATTTCAGAGCTTTGCTTAAATAATTGTTGAAGTTGATGCCTGACACTTCTGAAGTGAACTACAGAATACAGATTTTGTCTGGATACCCTAGTTTTTATTTAAAAAAATGAAAAAGATCCAAGCGCACTGTGCGGGTTCAGCGTGCAGACATTGCCTTTGCTATAGCTCACTTCTCTTCACAAACTTTCTTTCGCGGCAGATTTTTCACGTACCGGGGTCCCTCTCGAAAGAAAGCCTACCGAGAGAAACCAAGGTAATCAATACTTCGACACAGCTTTGAGCTAGAGGGATTTTTGTAGCAGCGTATTAAACAAGAACAGGAATGTTGATGCACATGCGGCGGTCCTTACATATCAGTTTAGGAAGCACCATATCTGCAGCGACGTGGGGACTGCAACACCCGATGTCGCACGACCACGGTGACTGACAGGCAGTGACCAAATAGAGTTTGCCCACAGCCGTTCCTTTCAGGAGCGAGTGCTTCAGCTTACAAAGTAACTCCCGCCACGCAAAAACGAGGTTTCGTTTCACAGCATGACGGCATGGCTGGCACCCAGCACAATAGCGTCGGAGCGTCTGCACACGCCCGTGTTTATCGTTGAAAACTTTTTAAAAGGATGCGAGACAACGAGAGTGCGAGACAAGAGACGGCGGGAAAAACCATGCAAGACCAGATGAACAATGCAGAGTACTTTTTGTCGGGCGGCCGCTTGCGCCACCTAGCTAACGTGTACAGTACTCAGTTTAGTCTCGTTTAGTTTCAAAAGGTGACCAAAATTGATCCTTTGGCGCAGGCTTGGCGCAGATTACCCCTATTATGGCAAAATATAGCAGGATGTAGCAGGGTTAGCCCCTTGGCACAGTTTGGCACAATTGGCACAGCAATCACATCACTGCTACACACATCACAGCCCAGGCACCGCTACTAAGGAAACCCAGAGCGAAGAACAACCGGCGACGGCAAAGTGGCAACTGAGCACGCCCGCATTCAATTGTACCACAGCACGTCCTCCTCCCTGGCTCCGCACCAGCTATGCGCGTTACATTGACGAAAACAAAAGGGCTCGTTTTGACGAAAACTCGGCAGTGTCTGTCAGTTTGTCAGCACCAGAGAGCGAGAGAGGTGTGTGCTGAC